GGCGTTGGGAATCACGCAGTACCGGCTGGATAGAGAGATTCGGCCTGTCGACCGTGCCGGCTCGAGGGCGACGATCGAGACTCACTCGCCCCCTCGCCCTCTCTGCAGGCGTCCACGTTCCCGACCTCGCCAACGAGGACCTCGGCCCGCTCCTGGACGACATCCTCGACCCGGCGCGCGGCCCCGTCACGCGCGCCAAGCTCGACCACGCGCTCGGCCTGACGGGCTACTTTGTCTGCGCGGTCCAGCGCGCGTTCGCCAACGTGTCGTCGTCGCGCCGGCCCAACACGCGCTTCCTGACGACGATCCCGCACCTGTGGACCTACATCGACCGGGCGCACGCCGCCGTCCAGCGCCTGCACCGCCGCCTCGTCCAGCTCGAGTTTGCGCCGTCTGGGTCCGGCGACGACGACGACCACCACCACTCGGTCGACTACGACCTCCTGATCGGCGTGCGCATGGACGAGCGCCTCCTCGACGTCGTGCACCTCGCGCACGTGTGGCTCGACACGCAGCGGCGCACGCTCGACCTCACGGTCGACGACCGCCAGGCGCTCGACGACCTCGTCATGACGAGCGAGCGCCGCGTGCGCAAGTGCCTCAAGCTCCTCGCGTTCTACTCCAAGGTGTTTGTCGACTCGCTCGACAAGCACTGCGTGTACCACCTCGTGACGCAGCTCGAGGCGCTCCCTGGGTGGACGATCATGGTCGCCCAGCGCGAGGGCGAGCCGACCGACTTTGGCCCGTTGCCGGCCGAGTGCGCCCTCACCGACGTCGAGCTCGACTGGTGCGTCCCGCTCTCTCTCTCTCTCTCTCTCCCTTCCTCTCCCCTCGAGCCGCCGAGCGACTTGAGCTCACGCCGTACCGGCCTTCCCACACGCAGGTTCACGCGCGCGCTCGAGCTCGCGTGCTTCTTCACGCCGCTCGCCAACGACCGGCTGCGCGAGCTCAACGCGGCGCGCGAGGCGCGCAAGGTGCCCGATCAGGCGCCGTACGCCGCTTTTGGCGACTACGAGCGTGCGTCGCCTGCCCTTTCTCTCTCTCTCTCCCTCTCTCCTTGTCTTTCTCCTACTCTCCTTCCCTCGCGAGCTCTCGCACTGACTCGTCGAGCGCGTCACAGTGTCTGCCCAATCCGCCGCTGCTGCCGGTCCGCCCGCCTACTCGTACCACCCGCATCAGCAGCAGCCCCCCACGTCGCACCTCGTCGCGCCCTTCCTCGACCCCCAGCAGCAGCAGCAGCAACAGCAGCCGCCACCGCTCCTCGCCAACCCCGATCCCGCCACCGGCTCGCTCGCCAACGGCGCCCAGCACCCGCACCAGCACCAGCACCAGCACCCGCACCCGCACGAGCACCGGCACGGCGGGCGCAAGCCGTCGTGGACGTTCGACAGCTACGGCACGCCGCTCACGTTCGACCCGGCGGGCTCGAACGCGCCGCCCGTGTTTGACGGCGCCGGCGCCGGCGGGGCCGGCGCGGCGCTCGCGCACCTTGTCGGCGCCGGCGCTGGCACGGGCGGTGAAGGCGGTACGTCGCCTGGGACGGGCAGCGCGAGCGCGAGCGGCGGCGGCGGCGGCGGCGGCGGGTCGGGCTCGGGCACGGGCACGGGCACGAGCCACTCGTCGCCTGCGAGCGGCGCGCGACTCGTCGCTGGTGCAGGCGAGCAGCACCAGCAGCAGCCGCCGTACCTCGGCAGCATGTCGTCGTTCCCGCTCCCGCTCCCGCCGACGCCGGCGCGCACGAGCACGAGCACGAGCGTAACGACGTCGCCCGAGCGGCACGGCGCGCCTGAACCTGCGCTCGCGCTCGCGCTCGAGCAGCCGTGGGGCGGCGGCGGCGGCGCGGCGGGCGTCGAGAGTGGGTCGGGCGCGTACGACCCGTTCGGCGGCGGGGACGAGGCGGTGGTGCGTGTCGCGGAGATGGTTGACGGCGGCGGCAGCGGCGGCGGCAGCGGCGGCGGAGGAGGAGGAGCAGGGGGAGGGGGAGCGGTGGTCGACGAGGGAGCGGCGGCGCCGTACGGGCTCGCGCCGCTCGGTGCGTCGGTGCAGCCGCAGCAGCAAGACTGGGCGGCGTACGGCGCGGGCGCAGGGGCGCAGTGCGCGAATGAGTGGTGAGCGCGGACGAGGGGCTCGAGCGCGGCTCGGAGGAGGACGGGCGAGTGAACGAGAGGGAATGTTGGGGCTGTGTCTGTCTGGGTTCGCTCTGTAGCTGCAGTGCCTGTTGCCAAGCCTTGTCCTACTGCCTCTGTGTGCTCGTCACCCGAGGAAAAAGAGGACGTCGGCTCGTTCGTGCGTCGCCCGCAAACGAGACGAGCTCGCTCGCTCGACTCTGTGCTCCCCCCGCGGCCGCCGCACGTACTGCGGTCTCGCGGGGGTGCTCTCGCACACCTGCAGAGAAGAAGCCTCGAAAAGATCGAGCCCTGCGGAAAGGGCAGCTCGCGCTTCGCCGACCTCGAACTTGGGAAGGCAAAACGAGCGGGCCAACTCGCGCTCTACACGACAAAGTAGCTCGGGAAACGCGCTCGATTGCACCTCAGACTCCTCCTCGTTCGACCCACGGCGCGCACGTGGCCGTAACCCCTCTAGATCAAGAGATAGCGTCTGAGCGAGGGTGCGCAGGATCCCCCTGTCTCGAGTAGGTGGCCGGGCGCACGGGCGCTCCGCAGGGGTGCGCGCCGTGCGAGCGGCTCACCGTAGTGCACCCGCTGCCCTCAGGGGCACGAGAGGGCGGGCGCGGCCTCGTAAAGACCCGTCGTCGGCGGCACGGCTCGCTCGGCCGCCGGGACGAGTTGGGACAGCGAGGCGGGCGACTTGAGCAGCCTGGGCTCGCTCTCAGAGCAAGAGGTAGCTCGTGTGACTAGATCGGCGGCCCCTGGGGCCAGCTGGACAGCGCGACAAGAGGCTTTCGAGTACGAGAAGGGGCGAGAGTGCCATCGAGGGCTCGACTAACCTGCGGCGCGAGGTCGATAGGGTCAGTGTCTGGCTCAGAGAGCAGGATGGGTCCATGCGAGTGTACTGGAGGCGAGGAGGAGAGCGAGAGAGACGCACAAGGAGCTGAATGTGCCCGCTCGAGGCCGACCGCCGGTCCTCGCGGCGCCCAGCTGACCGCCCAGCCGTCCTGCGCAGCCGTCTGACCTGCGGAAGGACCGAGATAGGTCAGTGGCGCCTCGTTGATGCGTCGCATGAGCCCTGCGAGCGCGAGGTAAAGGCGCAGAAGGTGGCCAAATACGGGGAGGAGAGGACGAGGGGGACGCACCAGCACTCCGGGTCCCGCACCGCGTAGCCGCCCTGCCAAACCCGCTCATCGACCCCTCTGTAGCCCTCTCGGAGCGCATCCACCGGTCCACGGGTCGTCGTCGCGAGTCGAGGTCGGTCGGTCGACGCGAGTCGCTGATGAGGACGCGGCGCGCTGTGCGCTGCCGAGGAGCGCTCGCGGCGGTGCGGGTGTGGCGGGAGGCGGTCGCCGATGTGTGCAGGTGTGCAGTGCAGCAGAATCGAGCGAGCCCAGCCTGCGGGGGTCGAGTGGTCGAGGGAGGAGAGCGAGAGCTGCTCCCCGTCCTGGGTCTCACGACCTCACTCCGTGTCCCCAGCGAGCCTGCGCACCTGCTCGAGCCACCCTCTCTCACCGCGCACACGCGCTCGCACGCCCAGCAACGCGTCCCCCTCTCCCCTCACCCCCCCCCCCCCCCCCCGGCATCCTCCTCGAGTCGCCCAACTCGCTCCCCTCCCGCCGACCTGCGCACCCCGACAGCCAGCAGCAGCAGCAGCAGCGATGAACAACCCCTACGAGGAGGAACAAGAACGTCCGTCCACCCTCCCCCCTTTCCCTCTCTCGCTCGACAAAGAGGCTGACCCCGCCCCAGCTCCGCCGCCCACAGTCATCATCGGGCGCATCCTCGGCACGGTCGGCAAACTCAACGAGAGCATCGAGCTCCTCAATGACGCCGTCGCTGTGCGTCCTCCCCTTCTCCCTCTCCCTCACCACGCCGCCCCACTGAACCCCACCCCCCCGCCCGCAGAAGTCCAACGACCAGATGCAAGAGACGACAGAGGTGTCCGAGCTGTGGCACGCCTACCTGCGCAACGTCCAGTGGAACCTGACGACCCACAAGACGCTGCACCCGCCCGTCTGAACACGATGCGCGGTTCTCTCTCTCTCGCTCTCTCTTTGTGTCTCTCCAGAGGTGGCGGGATTGTTTGTGTGTGTGTGACAACAGGGCTCAGTGACTGCTACAGGACACAGCGCGCACGAGAGAGAGAGAGAGAGCGAGGAGAGAGAGAGAGAGAGAGAGAGAGACAGAGAGAGAGAGAGAGAGGTACAACGAGAAACGAAAGCCCCTCGGCCGCCCTTGCTCCCGACTCTGGCCCGCGCCGCGCCCCTCAGCCGTCGAGCGCTTTGTTGACGCTCCCGAGCGCCGCCTTGAGGAGGAACTCGGGCGAGATCTCGCCGGCGTAGGGCGTGCTGCCGACCGGAGGAGAATGCGAGCCCGAGTCCGAGTGTCAGTTTTCCCGCTCGCGCTCGCGCTCCTCGGCGAGCGAGACCCAGACCGAGAGAGAGAAGGAAGGAAGGGAAGGGAAGGGAGGAATGCGCAGGGGACGCACCAGTCGACCATGTCGCGCACGCCGAGCTGGGGCTTGAGGTCGTCGTCGAGTTCCTGGAGGAACGCGCGCGCGTCCGGGTCGGCGCCGATCTGGATAAACTGGAGCCCGAGCTGGTACGGCCTGTGCTCGGTGGGCGTGTGCGGGAGCGAGAGAGTCATGGAGGCGGGTTTCGAGGTGGTGCGAGGGAGGGCGAGGGAGGAGGGAGAGGGAGAGGGTCAGGGCGCGCGCAGGAGAGAGGGGAAGGGCGAGAGACGACGCACGGCGCGCGAACCTCGTCGAGGCGCTGCGCCATCTCGACGATGATGTCTGCGTCGACGTGCAAGGCATCCCTCGTCAGTCGCTGGTCTCCTCGTTCGTGATCTCCTCCTTGCCGCCCACGTCGACGAGGAAAGGAGAGCGCAAAGAGAGAGAGAGCACACAGCGACGCACCCTTGACCATGTCCGGGTCGTCGGCCCTGCCATCGGTGAGGACGAGCACGAGCAACGGCTTGACGCGCTCGCGCGTCGCCTTGGCGTCCTCGACTTGCTCGACGTACGCTCGCAGCACCTCGTCGAGCACCATGCCCGTCCTGCGCGCGCCGCCAACACTCGTCAGTCGCGTCGCACGAGGCGCACAGCCCGAGGATCTCGACAAAGAGGAGAGGGAAGGGCGGGGGACGCACGGCGTGCTCCCGAACGGCTCGACCTCGCGGAACGTGCGCTCGACGACGGCCGGGTCGACGACGTGCTCGAGGCGCGCGCCGTCGTTGTTGAGGAACACGACGTCGATGCCGTCCTTGTCGTACTTTGTGCTGTGTGCGGGTGCGCGGGGCCGGGGCGAGGGCGGGTCAGCTTGCTCGGACGAGGACAGAGAGAGAGGTGGAGGAGGAGGATGAGGAGGGGGACGGACCAGCTCTCGACGACGCCCATGAGGGCCTCGCCGACGTGCTTCCAGTGGTCAACCATCGACGGCGAGTCTGTGCGTCACCATCGACCTTCTCAGCGAGGCTGCGCCGAGACGGAAAGGGTCGCTGCAGGGGAAACGGACGACGCACCGTCGACGACGAGCACGAGGTCGTACTTGCCGAGTGGCGCCAGGCGGTCCTCGATGCTGCTCCTGCGCTGTGGTCTCGTGGCTCCTTGCGCAGGTCGAGTCGAGCGGGGCGGTGCTGGTGGTGGAGCGGCGGCGGAGGAGGACGAAGACGACGAGGGGACGGCCTCGTACGGCGGGGCGGGTGCGAGAGGGGTGCTGCCGAGGGACAGGGTGGACAGGTCGGGCATGGCGGGCGGGCGTTGCGCTGGAGTTGTGGGCGAGGCGGACGAGGTCGGGCCCGCCGGGTGACGAGGCTTGGAGCTCATGGGAGGAGGAGGCTGCTGCTGCTGCTGCTGAGAGGCGGGGCGGCTCTGCTGCGAGAAGCGGCGGAACATGGTGCGGGCCGGTATATGGTCGCTCGTGCGTGTGAGGCCGAGAGAGCGAGAGGACGGCGACCGGACAAGGGAGACGAGCCGAGGGTGGGGATGAACTGCACCGCCTCACTCGCATCGCTCGACAAGCCTCTCGCGCACTCTCGACCACTCTCACTGTTACCCGGACAGTACAACATGCTGTCGATCGAGCAACGTCGCCCACTTGCGCGAGCACAAGCCGCCCTTGTCGCGCGCCCGTCCCTCGGGCCCGTTCCCCGGCTGCGGCAAGCCCCCCAGCCCTGTCCTGCCCAGCCCAGCCCAGCGTCCTCCCTCAAAACACCCCAACGCTCGCGAGAGCGGGCGCCGTCAGGTCGACCCGACACGGCCTCGTCGTCTCGAGGCCGGGCGTGACGTGGAAGAGCCGAGGATCCAAGTTTGTCGTCCTCGGCTGGCTCGGGCGCTCGAACCACATGTCGACGCCGACACGCTCAGTCGTAGACTGTCGGCGAGGGCAGGAAGATGGTCAGTCCATGCTGCTTGAGCGCGGAGCAGGAGAGGACGAGGGGGGACGCACTGTAGACGAGCGAGTAGAAGACTGCGAGGCGGCAGGGGGCGTACGTGTCAGTCTCGTCCCGCTCGATCCGGGTCACGGCAACGGAGAGACGCACGAGTCCAGAACAGGATGAACGAGAAGCAGTTGCCGAGCGTGCCGGCGAGGAGGGGCTCGCTCGGCTTGACGAAGAAGCGCTGAGGGTTGGCGCCGCACTGGGCGAGGCTGTAGGCGCCGCCGACCGAGACGCTCGTCGCGAGGAACAGGGCAAAGCCGGCGAGGTTGGTGAGGCCGAGGATGCCGGCGAGGGCGCCTGCGAGGCAGGCGGTCGCTGTGGGCGAGGGGGGGTCAGTGCTGGGAGTCGTGGGAGGGGGCGCGCGTAAGCGTCCGTGCCAGGGACAGAGGTGGACTGACTGCTCTTGACGTAGTACAGGCTCTGGTTGTTGTGGACGAGGTTTGGAGGGTAGACGCGTGCGTGAGGGGCGAGGAAGGGTCGAGGAGGGAGGGTCACGTCGAGGTCGGCGCGCGGTTGCTCGTAGGTCTGGTGCGAGGGGGGTGAGGGGTCAGTTGGGCTTCGTGGGGGTGATTGGTGGGGCGCAGGGGCGGTGACGAGGGCAGGTGGTCGGTGGGGAGATGAGGACGGGGAGGGGGAGAGAGGGGAGGAGGGTGAGACGGACCGGGGCCATGGCTGCGCTCTATCGCTGTGGTTGAGTCGGTGTCAGTGCGGGTGTGGAGGGCGAACGAGGCCCAGGCGAGGGGCTCACGGGGTTGGCGACGAGGACGGGGAGGGAGGGAGCACAGCTGCGAGGCGGGACGAGGGCGGGTCAGTGCGGGTGGGTTGGGTGGTGGTAGGGTGCAGAGAGTGCTCACGAAAGAGTGGCAAGGGTGCGTGTGCGAGCCAGAGCAGTCCAGAGCGAGGCGACGAGCGTCGTCGTCGCCCGTCGTCGTCGCCTCCTAAGTTAGACGACGGACCGTCGCCTCGCTCTGCCCTCGTCCTCCTTACCCCTCGCTCTGCCCTCGCTGGCACCTCAGGGGCATACCAGCCGCCATTTGCCCCTGCGCCACCCCCGCGCGCACCTCGATTCGACCTCGGCGTCACCTCGCCCTCGCCTCATTCGCGCCTCGCGTCCGCCTCGCCTGGACCTCGGCCGCACCTCGCCTGCACCCCAGTCGCACCTCGGTTCCAGAGCTGGCCGCCCTCGCCCGCCTCGACTTACCTCGCCCACTTGGGCGCCGCCGCCTCTTGACCTCCTTCCTCTCACTCGCCCAACACTCATTCTCTCAGGTGCGCCGCCTCTTCCCCTCCATCCTGTCGTCCGAGGACGGTTGTGGGCATGGGTGCAGCTCTCGCAGGCCCCCGAGGCGAGGTGGGGCCGGGACGGCGAGGAGGGCGGGTGAGGGCGATGAGGACGCCGAGGGCCGTTACAGACGGACAGCAGCTCGAGGGGCAGCGGGAGCTCGACAGCCTGCTCGTGTACGGCTGTGCGATGGCCCTGTGTGGCGGCGGGAGCTGGCGAGGCGCGGTGGGCGCGGTTCTCCTGGGTGCGGGGACTTGGGCGTGCGCGCTCGTCTCGCCCTGTGCCTCTCTCTCTCTCCTCCTCTTCTTCCGCCCTTTCGCTCGCAGCTCTTCATGAACGTCGGCGAGGACGACGGTGCGCGGTACGACTGCTCGAGGTGCGTCCCTTCTCTCTCTCTCTCGTCGTCGCCGGTCGTCCTCGTCGTCCCGAGTCGCTCACTCGCGCGTCCTCCTCGTCTCGCAGCCGCGCACCCTCGACGTCTCAGAGGTACGTACCAGCCCTCCTTCCTCCGTTCAAGCGAGTGCGTCGCTTTCAGCGAGCCGCAGACTGACACCCTCGTCCACAGGCCTCTGCGCCCGCTCGTCCTCCTCGACTGAACGGCGTCGTGTCCTCAGGTGCGTCTCTCGTCCGCTCTACTCTAGCAGAACGGCACTGACTCTACGTTGGTCGCACCTTCCATGACGCAGCGTCGCCTGCCTCTCGGTGCGTCTCGCTCCCTCCTCGTCCTTTTCTCTCTCGAGGCGTGCGGCGGCGCCTCGGCGGACAACGAGTGCCTTGTCACCTCCTGCGACCGGGACTGACACACTCTCCTTGTCCTCCTCCCGCCCGTCCCTGTACCTCGTTCGGCCTGCAGCCGACTCGGTCGTCTCGGACGCACAGGTGCGCTCGCGCCTCTCACTTTCTCTCGCGTCGCCAGGCTCTCTCTCGGGTCTCGCGCTCGCGCCGATCTTCTCTTGCATTGCTGTATACCCGTCTCTGCAACTTGTTTATCGTCATTCTTGATTGCGCGAGCGAGGCGAGGACGAGGCGAGGACGAGGTGAGACGAGGGGAGAGCGAGGGGAGAGCGAGCCGAGAGCGACGCGAAAGCGAGGCGAGAGCGAGGTGCCGCCGACGAGAGAGTGAGGTGCCGCCGAGGTGAGAGCGAGGGGGAGGCGAGGGGAGGAGGAGCGAGGAGAGCGTCCCAAGAATCCCGAGTTCCTCTTTGCTCTCTCGACACGTGCGGGCCCGGCGAGCGAGACAGAACGCGCAAGCGACTCGGTACATACAGGTGGAAGGGGTACAACAAGGGCAGGAAGAGAGAGAAGGAATTCAGTCGTCGTCGTCGTGCTTCTTGGCCGCCCTCGCACGGCCCGACCGGCGCACGACGGGCGCCTCCTGCTGCACCGCCTGCGGCACCGCCTGCTGCGCCGCCTCCTGCGCCCGCTGTCGCCTCCGCTCGAGCTCGTCGCGCTCGATGCGCGCGACGAGCGTCTGCGCGGGCTCGTCGCCGTCGGCGCACGGACCCCTCACCGACCGACCGTGCACCTCGGCTCGCACCGCCTCGAGCCACCCGCTCAGCTCCTCGGACCGGGCCTTCTCGACGCGTCCCTCGACCTTGAAGTACACCGCGAGGCCGACCTCGAGGCACAGCTGCCTCACCGCGAACGCGCCGAGCGTCGAGATCCGGTCGCCGCTGTCGACGACGCCGTCGAGCCTGACGATCGATGCCGACGACGGCGACAGCGCGACGAAGATCTCGTCGCGCCGCCTCTGCGCGTTGGCGCGCTGGAGGTCGTAGCCGGCGACCTTGCCCTCGAGGCGCGCCGCCTCGAGTTTGGCGGCGCGCAGGTCGTAGCCGGCGAGCTTGCCCTCGAGGCGCGCCGCCTCGAGGTTGGCGCGCGTGAGGTCGGGGCCGACGAGCTCGCCCTCGAGGCGCGCCGCCTCGAGGCGCGCAGCGGCGAGGTCGGGGCCGACGAGCTTGCCCTCGAGGCGCGCCGCCTCGAGTTTGGCCGCGCGCAGGTCGGGGCCGACGAGCTCGCCCTCGAGGCGCGCCGCCTCGAGTTTGGCGCGCATGAGGTCGGGGCCGACGAGCTCGCCCTTGAGGCGCGCCGCCTCGAGGTTGGCGGCGCGCAGGTCGAGGCCGTACAGCTTGCCCTTGGCGCGCGCCGCCTCGAGATTGGCGGCGTGCAGGTCGGGCCCGTAGAGCTCGCCGTTGGCGAGAGCGGCAGCACGCCGCTCGCGCCGGGTCGCCGCGCCGCGCTCGAGCATGACAAGCTTGGCGAGCTGCGCCTCGGAGGCGACGAGCGAGGACGGCAGCCACCGTGGGCGCACCGTCTCGCCCGACGCGAGGCGCAGCTGCGCCGACTCGAACGACGCCGCGTTCTTGCGCAGCCACCGCCGCAGGAAGCGGTCGCCGAGCGGGAAGAGGCGCGTGCGCTCGGACGGCTTGAGCGGCTCGCCGCGCTCGACCTCGGCGGTCGCGATTTGGCCGATCGCGATGGCGATCTGGGCCGCTGCGTCCTCGTCCTGGGCGATGTGCGAGTAGGCCCGCTCGTAGTAGTGGTCGGGCGTGGGGAGCTCGGCGCCGACGGGCGCGAGGAACGACAGGGCGGCGACGGCGGCGTCCTGGGACCGAGGCGACCGACCGTACGAGAGAGGCGCGAGACGGGCAGATCGAGTGCGCGAGCAAGAAGTAGACGTCGACGGCGGTAGTCGGCCAGCAGGGCACGAGTCGCGACGATATCGAGAGGGTCCCGACGGTCGTACGGGAGGAGCGTGGTCGAGGAAAAGGTGGGAGGGAGGGAAGGAGGGAGAGAGGCAAGCAGGGTCAGTGCGCGCTCGAGCGGGGTGGATGAAGAGAGAGAGAAAGAGGCCGAGATGTCGGACGAGTTCTGGAGAAAGGTCGTGGAGGAGGTTGAGGCCGGGCTCGTGCGCATCGTCGAGAGACCGAGAGAGAGAGAGAGAGAATGCCAGCGGCGACGCACCTGGTACCAGACCTGGTCCAATCGGCTGTGACCGCCGCTGAAGAGAGCCGGCGCGTGATGGTGCACGAGGATCGTGCCGCGACCGTGCGGCTCGTCCTTGCGGCGCAGGTGGAACACCATGATCTCGACCGGCTTGAGCTCGTCGGTCGTCCTCCACAGGCCGGCGACTGGTACTGGCACGACGACGAGAGACCTGCTGTTGAGGACGAGGTCGAGGATCTCCTTGCCGTATGACGAGACGACCGTGCCCTCGTCGACCGCGAGCTCGAGGACCGTGTCGTTCATGAGGCCAACGGTCTGGTAGCCCTCGGCCGTGTAGTAGAACTTGGCCGGGTCGCGGCCCGACTCGGTGTTGCTGAAGAGGTGCGGGATGGCGTCGTGCACGGGCAACTGCGGGCGACGACGAGGTCGTGAGCGGGATCGAGATGAAGAGGAGAAAGCGAGAGGGGGCGCACCTTGGACGAGATGATGCCGGTCGCGACCCAGTCAAGGTCGGTCTGCGCGGTGCGCAGGTGCGCCGGCTGTACGGACTCGGCGCGCGATGACCCTTGGACCGGCGGCCAGTTCGAGACCGAGCACAGGTGCTGCGAGGGGCGAGAAGGAGGTGCACTGCGCAAGGCAGCACGTCAGGTCGCGCTCGTGAAGAAGGGAGGAGGAAGGAGGAGGGAGGAGGGAGAAAAAGGGGGGAGAAAGAGGAGGGAGGAAGTGAGGACGCACTCGACGCGGTGCTTGCCCGTCTTGGCGTCGAACAGCTCGGGCGACGACTTGCGGTACTGGTCCTCGACCTTCTTGACGACCTGGGTGTCGAGCTTGGCGCGCAGCGAGACGATCTTGGCGACGACGTCGTCCTCGAGCTTCTTGCGCTCGTTGCCGGTCGAGACGCGCTTGCCGAGCTTGACGTCGGCGATGAGGGTGCTCGCCGCCGAGCGCGGGTGCTGATTGTCCTGGTACACGTTGTGGGCGAGCGAGTCGCAGAGGATGGTGTGGAAGTTGGTCGACTTGAGCTCGAGGAGGTTCTGCGGGAGGCGCGGCGGGGACGGGTCAGCGCAGAAAATGGGCGAGACGTTGGACAAAGAGGGACGCACCTCGCCCTCGAACGTGCCCCAGTTGAAGCCCTCGACTCCCTCGACCATGCCGTCCTCGAGGTACGGCTCGTCCTCGTCCTCGGCAGCCCTGCGCTCGCGCGCCATCGCGATGCGGGACCACACGGGGAGGGCGGCGGTCGAGCGCAGCAGGCGGTGGAGCCCGATGCACGTGATCGAGACGTTGTAGAGGTGGAGGTGGGTGTTGTCCGGGTCGGCGTGCGGGAAGGTCGGCGACGAGTCGGGGATGGTCGTGTCGGCCACGCTGTCGGTGGTCGCGGTGGCGAGGAGAACCTGTACGGCACGAGCGCATGATCAGGGACGTCTGTGCCGGGAGAGAGAGAGGATGAGAAGCGAGCGACGCACCTTGATGATGAGCTCGTCCGGGAGAGGCAGAGGCTGGTGCGGGCGCGACGGTGACGGCGCGGTCGCCTTCTCCTTGCCCTTCTTGCCCTTGCCCTTGCCCTTGCCCTTGCCCTTGCCCTTGGTCTGCGTCTTCATGGTCGTCGTGCTGGACGTCGAGTGGTCGCGCTTGGCGCGCTTTGCCGGGCGCGAGGACGAGTCGGTCGGGTCGTCGACGCCGAGCGCGGCGACTGCAGGGGTCGCCGAGTTAGCGGGGATCAAGAGCGAGCTTTGGGAAGGAGTCACTGCTCGCGTTGCTGCGAGATGATGCGGGCCTGGGCGGCGGCAGCACGAGGCGGCCTCGACGACATCGAGGACGAGTTGGTGATGAGGACGGGAGGGGGAGAGGGTGCTGG